CATTTCTCATCTGCGTATTCTTTATTTGCAGTCCATGTTTCTATATCACCACCATAGCGTACCTCTATGGGACCTCGGTGAAGGTACATACATTATTTATAAAACTCCGTCAATAATTTAGTACCTATGGCCCATGTTAGGGGATCAATTTATAATTTAGTACGCTGACTGCATTTTTATTGAAGATCGATTCTCGACATTATTAGGGGGAGATTAGTGCCCAAAATACAAAATAATGTCAAGAAATTCCATTGGTGAAAAAGATCTTCAATATTTATATTCACGTACTAGTCAAACTGAACCAGAAGTTCACATGATAATCTGCTAAGAAAAGAGTGACTAAGCCCCATATTCATGTTGAGTATATCATTGATGATTTGGTATGCCAGAAGCGTACTGCACCAGAAGCATAGGAAACTTGTTAGTGAAAAAGATAAAAGTCTCCGACAAACTAAATTCTATATAGAAAGACAGTAACTCCCATAACCTCCGGAAGAGGTTCATCCTGAAGATGGAATCTCCAGTAAATTGCACGTGCACTAGATAATCACAATACTGGAGATGCGGAACGGCCAAATCCAAACGTTAAGGGAAATGGCGAGGATTTGGTTGACATAAAATAAGAATTGAAGTGGCCACGAATTTGTGAAAAAGGAGAAATATATAATAGAAATATAAAAGTTGTCGACAACATAGTTGCCTCTACAGTTGCTCTTACTATCTCCGAAAATAATCTGGATCTAGAACCTAAGTCGGTAATAAAGTGCTTGAAGCATTCGGACTAGGTGAGATGGAAAGTGGCAATTGAGGCTGAGCTGAACTCGCTAAAGTATTTTTGAACCTGTAGTTCATATATCCCTGCAGGATATAATGGGTCTTCGTAAGAAAAATAAATGACAATTGTAAGGTGGTGAGATGTAAAGCGAGATTCATAGCTCAATGGGTTCACGCAGAGACCTGACATCGATTTAGATATAAAATATTCTCCTATTAGTGATTGTATTACGTTCCGCAAGTTAATACCTATAGCAGAAACTATGAATTTATATATGCAGTATATGTACGTTATGACCATATTTTTATATGAGTCATTAGACGCTAATATTTTTATATGAAAGTCTCTGATGGACTTAAAATTCCTGAATTAAGAGAAAACGAGAATCGCAACATGTATAGCATTAAATTATAAAGGTCGTTATACAACTTGAAATCTTTATCCATTCGAGGGACCGAACGACCATTGCGTGTGCTAAGTGGATGAGATTTATCCATATAAAATCTTTCCAAACCTTTTTCACATAGATTGACTGGTGTAGAAAAATCTTTCTGGGAAAAATGCTCGATCTGCAGGCGAGACAAAACTTGTTTTTCCCAAGTCTTTCATTTCAAACTCGTCTTTAGGCATGAGCTAGCTTCTGTAAGTCCTTGTGCATTCCATAACATTTATATCATCAATATAGACTGATATAATACAAAAAGCCATTTATAAACACACAAGGGCAGACATCATTATTTGCATATCTCCTCTTCAGAAGGAACTCGCTCAGTCGATTATACCACATTTCTTACCCGACTATTTCAAGTTGTATAACGACCTTTATAATTTAATGCTATACATGTTGCGATTCTCGTTTTCTCTTAATTCAGGAAATTTTAAGTCCATCAGAGACTTTCATATAAAAATATTAGCGTCTAATGACTCATATTAAAAATATGGTCATAACGTACAATATACTGCATATATAAATCATAGTTTCTGCTATAGGTATTAACTTGCGGAACGTAATACAATCACTAATAGCGAGAAATATTTTATATCTAAATCGATGTCAGGTCTCTGCGTGAACCCATTTGAGCTATGAATCTCGCTTTACATCTCACCACCTTACAATTGTCATTTATTTTTCTTACGAAGACCCATTATATCCTGCAGGGATATATGAATACAGGTTCAAAAAATACTTTAGCGAGTTCAGCTCAGCCTCAATTGCCACTTTCCATCTCACCTAGTCCGAATGCTTCAAGCACTTTATTACCGACTTAGGTTCTAGATCCAGATTATTTTCGGAGATAGTAAGAGCAACTGTAGAGGCAACTATGTTGTCGAAACTTTTATATTCTATTATATATTCTCCTTTTTCACAAATTCGTGGCCACTTCAAAGCTTATTTATGTCAACCAAATCCTTGTCATTTCCCTTAACAATTGGATTTGGCCGTTCCGCATTCCAGTATTGTGATTATTCAAGTGCACGTGCAATTTACTGGAGATTCCATCTTCAGGATACCGTCTTTCTGGAGGTTATGCGGAGTGACTGTCAATAATTTAGTTTGCCTGCGGACTTTTATCTTTTTTATATGCTTCTGGCACATATTGCTTCTGGCATACCAAATCATCAATGATATACTCAACATGAATATGGGGCTTAGTCACTCTTTTCTTTAGCAGATTATCATGTGAACTATCTGGTTCAGTTTACTAGTACGTGAATATAAATATTGAAGATCTTTTTCACCAATGGAATTACTTGACATTTATTTTGATTTTGGGCACTAAATTCTCCCCCTAATATGTCGAGAATCGATCTTCAATAAAAATGCCCATGTCAGCGACTACTAAATTATAAATTGATCCCTAACATTGGCCATAGGTACTAAATTATTGGACGGAGTTTATAAATAATGTATGTACCTTCACCGATGAGGTCCCATAGAGGTACGCTATGGTGGTGATATAGAAACATGGACTGCAAATAAAGTAATACGCAGATGAGAAATGTTTTGCTTATTTACTAGTTAGATAAAGGGGGGAAATTGTTGATATGCATTGGTCGCGGATTTCGTTTGATATGCCCCATTTAATTTAAGGGAAATCCGACAAATCATATTTTGCCCAAGATGACCACATCGCTCATGCCAGAATTTAATAGAATTTTGGTCTCTAAATCTCAAACTTATCGCAACATTGTGTTATTTTAGGTCAGACAAATTCTAAAATATACACATATGAATAAAAACCACAATAGGTTGCATCAGATTTAAAGCAAATCAAAAGAATAAATTAAACTTGTCTGACAAATGCATATAATCCAAATATAGAAAAACCAATATAGTTCGAATAAGAATCGCTAATTACACTTCCTGCGTTCCAGAGCTTTAGATGAATATTAGTTTTGAATTATGACATGTGCCATTTAGACCCAAAGAAGATAATGAAGAAATGTTAGGGCCAGAAGTTCCCTATCTGAGCACCATTGGAGCACTTCTTTATCTCGCAAATTGCACCAGGCCTGATATTGTATTTGCGGTGAACTTGCTAGCAAGGTATAGTGCTTATCCTACAAGGAGACAATGGAATGTCGTTAAACATTTCCTTCGCTATCTTCAAGGTACAAAAGATCTTGGACTATTCTATAAAAAAAACCAAGATATGACATTGGTGGGCTATTAGGACGCTGGCTACATGTCTGATCCCCATAACGCCAGATCCCAGACTGGTTATGTTTTTTCTCTGTGGTGGTACTGTCGTTTCTTAGAGGTTTGTTAAGCAGACTATGGTGACTACTTCTTATAACCACTCAGAGATTATCGCTTTATATGAGGCCTCACGAGAATGTGTATGATTAAGATCATTGATACGATATATTTGTGGCTCGTGTGGTCTAGCGAAAGATGATATTCCCCCCAATGTCCTTTATGAGGACAATGCAGCTTGTGTTGTACAAATGAGCAGTGGATATGTAAATGGAACCATGAGAAAACATATTGCGTTAAAATTCTTTTAATCCACATGAGCTCCATGTTCACAATATGCATAGACTTGGAAGACTATCTTCTTCATGGGGAGCAAATTCTTAAAGAACAATCCTGAAGATTGGGCCCTGAAGGTCTATTATCATAATTTACCCCTTTTTCGCTAAGTTTTGTCCCACTGGGTTTTTCTTAGCATAGACTCAGAAGATTGTCATCATCAGGGGGAGCGAATTTTCAGCGCAATCCCGAAGATTGTACCTTGAAGGACTATAGTTGTACTCTTTTTTTCTTTTGCTAAGTTTTGTCCCACATGGTTTTCTTAGCTAAAGGTTTTTAATGAGGCAACTAATGTAACAAGAATCTACTAATGTCGTGTACTCTTTTCCTCGACTAGTTTTTATCCCACTGGGTTTTTCTAGCGAGGTTTTTAACGAGGCATTGACATCATGTAGTAATGTCCAAGGGGGAGTGTTGTAAATATAAATACAATGAATGTGGACATTACTAGAAGAAGACTCTTCACCTACTTGTGACTTTTAGTATTCTCTTCCACATCTATATAATGTAATCCATGGAAGACAAAATGTATAGAGGAGAAATGAAGATGAATAAAATGAGATGATCACTTTCTCCCTATCTCTTTTTCTTGTTTATTTACTTTTACATTTCATGTTCGATTCTTACTTTTGATATGTGATGTTTACATTTCATGTTCGATTCTTACTTTTGATATGTGATGTATGTAGATACAACAACGAGATTACAACATATTTAAAGTGGATTTAAGAGAGTAAAAAAATGCTACTCAACCAGGAGGGAGGGACATATTAAATGTTAAAATGATAAATCTCTTTGTAAGAGCAGCTCCAACCGGGTTGTATTTCTCCAAAATGCAGCCCGGTTGGCATCCAACCGAGCTCCAAATTTTGGAGCTCGGCTGCAAAAAATCCCACCCGGTTGTATATTTGGAGTTTTTGCTCCAAATATGCAGCCCCCCTCCATTTCACTATTCCTCCTAAAAAATAACAATATTACCCTTCTAACTAACTAATTATTTTTAGATATTCAACTTAAAATCAACATAAGTTTATTTCTACTAATTATTTTTAAATAAAAGTTTTACAGTTGGAAATGTTTTGTCGATACCTTCAAAATGAGACTAATATTGAATAATATTAATTGAAATATAAAATTTCAAGAACCAAGTAATTAAAAATGAAAAAGTCATTATTTCATTAGTAAAAAAAGTTACATCGCTTCATTTCCATGTCTTTCCCACAAATGTTCAATCAATGCATTTCGAAGTGCAAAATGAGCTTCTTTGTTTTTCAACCTCTTATGTTGAGCAAGAAACCGTTGGAATCGTTCAGTTTCTGTTATCTCCATATTTTCAGCATTCAGAATTGATTGTGGAGTTGAAATGACAACATCTTCTTGCTCGTCGCGTTCATCTTCGATAATTATATTGTGCATTATAATACAAGCAGTCATGATATCATGCAGAATTTGTTTATCCCAAAAACGGGCTGGCCCCTTGACGATAGCAAAGCGTGATTGGAGAACACCGAATGCCCGCTCAACATCTTTTCGACATGCTTCTTGCATCATTGCAAAATATTATTTCTTTTATCATCGGAATTAGAAATGGTTTGAACGTGTTGGCCATTTCGGATATATGCCATCGGCTAAATAATAACCGACATCATAATTTTTTCCTTGAATTGTGTAATGAGCAGGAGGAGCAATACCTTGTGATAGATTGTCGAACAAATTAGACGACTGTAATACATTAATATCGTTAAATTTCGAGGATGTATTCGACAAGTCGAGCGCTTAAATCCAAGCGGTGCTTCTGAGCTTGACATTGTAAGTATTTTGAATAACATAAATCTTGATTATCATCTACTATCATGTTATTAATAAATGTTTCTTCCTCTCTTGTGGTAGATTAAACGTGCTAGGATAATATTTGCAGAAGATCCAGAAGAGAGAAAGGGGTTTCTATTTGATCATGTTTGGTCAATTTTAAAAGATGCAGAGAAATGGGCAAATATAAGTGTCAGATCGCCTGCAACTTCCAAAACTTCAAAGTCCCGCTCATCTCAGGGATCAGATTCAAGTTCTCCTGTCGTCGACTTAAATGACGATAATGAGGAATATACTCATAATGACGAAGATATGATAAAACTGAGCCAATACGCTTCGGCCGCTCTGCCTCTTGAGAGAGATAAGTCATTATTTTATTATTAGAGGCATGTACGCGAGCTAAGAGTTCATCTTCCTTCTCCCATTGTGTTATATCTTCCTCCCAATCTTTAATGTACTGAGAAAATATTTCGTCGTCAGAAGAAGAAGAAGGTAGATGTGACGGTCCGACTCCATAGTTCATTGATGAAGAAGTTATTTATAGAAATAGAAGAAGAAGGTAGATGTGACGGTCCGACTCCATAGTTCATTGATGAAGAAGTTATTTATAGAAATAATCATATAAGTTGTGAGTTATTTAGAGATGGATGAAGAAGTTATTTATAGAAATAATCATATAAGTTGTGAGTTATTTAGAGATGGATGTAATGTCATTAAATAATATGACTCCCCACATTGGATTCTTTTCAGCATTGGCTTCTCACCCCCAACATTGGATTCCTTTCGTGTTGGAGACTCCCCACATTGGATTCTTTTCAGCATTGGTTTCTCACCCCCACATTGGATTCCTTTTGTGTTGGAGACTCCCCACATTGGATTCTCCTAGTGTTGGAGACTCCCCGCATTGGATTCTTTTCTTGTTGGAGACTCCCCACATTGGATTCCTAGTGTTGGAGACTCCCCACATTGGATTCCTTTCGTGTTGGAGACTCTCCACATTGGATTCTTTTCAGCATTGGCTTCTCACCCCCTCCCCCCACATTGGATTCCTTTCGTGTTGGAGACTCCCCACATTGGATTCTTTTCAGCATTGGCTTCTCACCCCCACATTTGATTCCTTTTGTGTTGGAGACTCCCCACATCGGATTCTTTTCAGCATTGGCTTCTCACCCCCCACATTGGATTCCTTTCGTGTTGGAGACTCCCCACATTGGATTCTTTTCAGCATTGGCTTCTCACCCCCGCATTAGATTCCTTTTGTGTTGGAGACTTCCCACATTGGATTCTCCTGGTGTTGGAGACTCCCCACATCTGATCCCTATATAATACTTGCACAATTTTCATATCTCCACCACAACTCTTCTTATTCTATATTCATAACTCTTTACATTCCTCCTTAGATTATGGCATCTAGTCACGAAAAATCTTTTTTACAAGAAGAAGACCAAATTTTATGCGCCACATGGCTCGAAATTTCTCAAGATCCAGTCATGGGTTCTAATCAAAAGAAGGGCAAGCTGTGGGAACGAATTTCTGCTTTATTTCATGAAAGGATTTCCAATATTTGTAATTCTCAAAGGACTCCGAAGTCTCTCTCATGCCGAATGCAATTAATTATGAAGGCCATTAGTAAATTTCGAGGATGTATTCGACAAGTCGAGCGCTTAAATCCAAGCGGTGCTTCTGAGCTTGACATTGTAAGTATTTTGAATAACATAAATCTTGATTATCATCTACTATCATGTTATTAATAAATGTTTCTTCCTCTCTTGTGGTAGATTAAACGTGCTAGGATAATATTTGCAGAAGATCCAGAAGAGAGAAAGGGGTTTCTATTTGATCATGTTTGGTCAATTTTAAAAGATGCAGAGAAATGGGCAAATATAAGTGTCAGATCGCCTGCAACTTCCAAAACTTCAAAGTCCCGCTCATCTCAGGGATCAGATTCAAGTTCTCCTGTCGTCAACTTAAATGACGATAATGAGGAATATACTCATAATGACGAAGATATGATAACAAGTCGATCGACAGGAAGGAAGAAAGAGAAGATGAGGAGGCGACAGGCAACTGAAAAGAACCTCGACTCGGAAACTCTCAATAAAAGCAATTAAGAAATTGTCGATATTTTAAAAAAAAAGTCATGGACAACGAGAAAATGATAGAATAGCAATGCACCAGATTATGATGTTAAGGGCCGAAAACGAAAAGAAAAAATTAGATATTCAAAGGGAACGCCAGGAAAGTAAGATTATGTTGATTAATCTTGATACTATTACTGATCCTTCAGAACACGAGTATTTTCGAATTAAAAAACAAGAGATTTTAAATAGAAACACAACCGGAGGTTCTTCATCTGATATTCCTAATCCTGAATATAGTTATGCAGGAAGTCAATACGGAATACCTGACTACAGAAGCGGTGGATATGGAGGAAATGGCCTGCCCGATTTTTAGTTTTTTTCATGTACTTTATTTTCTATGTAATGCCGCTGAATGTAATATATAATATTTTATCATTCGGAGTAGCTGTGAAGGTTGTTCCAAATATTATGCTATATTTTCTGCTTTTTAAAATTTAAAGGCTCTTATCTATGTCTTATTATCAATTTATTAAAGATAATTAATTTTATTTAAATAATGAGTATATTATATGTTATACTTTTAGTATTAATTTATAATATATTTTATATTTTAAATTAATTCATATAATTTTTTAACATTTTATATTTTTTATATTTTCAAATCTATTTAAAGTATTATAAAAGAAATCAATTGAAAATACAAAATAGAGCTTCATATAGAGGGCGTGGTTGGAGTGCCCCCTCTAAAAAAGCATATTCCCAAGAATATACTTTGGGGAGGCTGCATTTTGCAGCCTCCCCATTGGAGTTGCTCTAAGGATGTGACTCTTGACTATGTCTATTTAGTAGGAACTCGACAAAATTGCAGTTGATCAGTTGCAAAAGGAGTTCAACGCACCATAAGTCAGAATAGTATCTTATTGAAATTTCTTTGTCCCCCCTTCAATAACTTAAATGATACAACATGTGAAATACAACATCATACGTTCAATACTGATGGAGAAAAAAAATACGGTTTTGAATGCCAACTGGGGCAGGGCAGTTCACTTCTTATATATATATACTAAAGAGTTCAAGCGAAAAGATAAAAACATTTACTATTGATCTTCTCTCCTGTAGAATATTTCTAATCCATGTAAAAAAATACCCAAATCACTTGGAAATTGCATTTTAATTAGGTTATGGAAAATCACAATTTCAAGTCCTCAAATTTACTAAAGCGTGCCTACACAAATGAAAGGACAAAGTTCAAATTAGTAGCACCCTTTGCCCCAAATATTCCACTAGTAGAAAAGCTCCAGTACGGATAAATACAGCAAACTAAAATTTTTTGTCTTTATTGTTCACAACATAAACGGAAATTAGCAAAAAAGTAGCGGAGAGACCACTATTTTTAATCTCAAGCGTTGATTATTTAGTAGGCAGTTATGTTACAATCTAAATCTAACACTTACCATACCCCCGTATATTGCACTCATTCCTAATTTGTACTAAAAGAAAAAATCATAACAATCAACTAGATAATCAATGGCTATGATTATGTAGTGGTCCCTCCACTATTTTTTTTGTAGTGAAGAGGATCTGAATCCATATTTACCGTTCCGTTTGTGTTGTTAATAAACTCAGTGCGGACATTTTTTTTGACAACCCACATTAGATTTAAGGGTTTTCCCTAATAAAGTTTTACTCCTAGCTATATACCGAAAAAGAACCATTGAGCTCTGCATATTCCAATAAACCTAACAGACGAAGTTCCTTTATCTTTATCTTTAAATGCAAGATGTAGAATAAGAAGTATATAGCTACATACAGTAGGGTCTGAGTACAAACTGTAGGGTACGATATATAGCCACATACTATAGAGTGCGTTGCAAGGTGTACGCCCACATACTATAGATATAGAGTTAGATAGCTACGTACTTGGATGTATAGTTGAATACCAGATTATATTTAGCTATACACTTTGTATTCTTTGCACATAACTTGAAGTTCGAGTTTATCGCAACATACAAAACAACTTGATGGGGGTTTTTTGGGAGTAAAACTTTGGGTCAGCCCCTAAGATTTATTGTACGTCAGTGGGGATTCAGACAAAAAGATAATGTGGTATAAATCATTTGGCTTACGCAGGAGAGTGGACTGACCGACTGAGTACGACAATTGCTTGCTTGGACCTTGGTCGGTGATATTGTTTTACCAAGAACTTTATCTAAAGTCTGAGAACTATCGGATACACACACATGCGCTCACATGACTGGGTCCTACGCGAAGTCTTGCCAACAAAATCACCACCAAGCCTTTTGGTTGTCCTCTTTCCATGTCTATTGTGCTCCTGCTCTACAGTGGAAGAAATGTTTGGTGCAGGACAAGTTTCAGGGAATGCTTTGCTTCAAAGCCACTTTCACATCATTCTGTCTTTGGGTAGTCTTAAAAGGCAAATCTTCAGTGCTTATAAGATAATACTCATTTCTTGAGGCATTATGAATCATGATTATGGTGATGAAGCTAATTAATTACTCATGAAAACACTAGAATGTTATATTTCCATTATTGATGATTACGTCATGTTTGTGACCTCACTGTAGAGTCTTTATGAGTTCCCTATTTGACAGAATATGCTAATTAGCAACACTGGGCCCATTTTGCATCTTCAGTGGA